AATTTGATATAGGGGTTTAGGTATCTACATCTTAAACCGGACGCGCTACATCGCTTGGACGTGAGACACCCCTGAAGGTATACGGTAACCTTAAGTTATTTACTATTATATATGAAATTTGAAAAATTTAAACCTAAATAAATGGCCAAAATGAACGACCACGTGCCTAAGGAAAGAATAAGCACCCCTGATAATAATGGCTCCCCGAAAGTAATCTTAATTTTTTACCTTCCTATCGAACCGCGAAAGTAATGGTGCCCCAGAAAGTAACAGCCCACCCAAGAGTAGCAGCCCTTTGAATAAGTCAATAACAGAGCTCATCTGAAATGTGGATGGAATAGCCTGACTGCAGACTGAACGACTTGAAGAGTTATTTGCCATTAAATATTTAACTTAACTAAATTTTTCGTGAAATTATAAAGCTCTATTTGTCTGGCAGCAGAGTTAAATGATATAGTGAAATCAGTTGCATTGTGATAAAATGCGACCATTATGCTTTCGCCCAACAGTACCAATATTTAGGGACTTTTTCGTTTTTACATTCAGCTTTGTTTTTGTGGGTAGTTAGTAACATCCCTGAAATGGAACTTTTAATTTAATAGAATACGCATCCTCTTTGTCTAAAATGACTGTGAATTACTTACTAATGATTTTTGACCATCTGAAAGTAACGGCTGCCTGAAAGTAACGGCTGCCCGAATGTATAGCAGCCCTTTTAGCCTGCTAAATCCGAAAGTAATGGGGGACGTTACTTAAACAGTATAGCTTATAGATTTCCTTCTCTATTCTCTAATACATGTACTGTTTTCATTTTCTTTTATTTGTGTCCAAGTCAAGCGTGAAATTTTCTCACAAAAATTTTCCATTACCAATCATTTCCCACAATCACTGAACATGGAACCAAAAAAGTGCTACCAATTAAATTTGAAATCCTGGGGCTTGGCAAGGTAGCCTTGAAGTAAATCCAAGCATTCTGACTGGTTCTTTCTTAGTCTGGATTTTGCCATACAGAACATTTCCCTAAGCCGGGTATTTTTTTTTTTGGAAACCAGCAAATTCAAATATAATATACCATATAACAAACTAATAACTAACCTAACTTGCTTGAGCTGCACTGGGGAATATATAGACCTCACTATACTTGGCCCATACTGTCACAACCTCGGGCAAATATTCCCCAGAACTATGAAGACATGATTGATCACCCCAATTATTTACACAACTTAAGCAGCTGTGCAATGAAAGCCTAAAAAAATTCAGGCTTGAATGGGATTCAAACTCATGAAAGATCATATATTGGAACTGCTGTGGGCTGTGTCTATAACTGCCATGATTGACAGAGGTCATGGCTTTGAATCCCATGCAAGCCTGAATGTTTTTCAGGCTTTAATTTCACAGCTGCTTGAGCTGTGTGTATAACTGCGATGATCAATCATGTCTTCATATCTTTCTCCCCAGTTCAAATATATGATCTTTCATATATCCACTTGTTTCTTCACCATCTATGGGTATCTTATGAACTTACAACGTGACCAGCTCCCAGTTGGCCCAATAGCTCACTTGGTATAGCACTGCACTGGTATCGCAGAGGTCATGGATTTGAATCCCATTCAAGTCTGAATTTTTTCAGGATTTAATTTCACAGCTGCTGAAGCTGCGTATATAACTGCGATGATCAATCATGTCTTAACTTCTTTCTTTGTCTATCTAAAGGTGTCTCTGCAGTTCAAATATCTGAACTTTCATATATTCACTTGTTTTCCTCAGAGCTGCCAGTTAAGGTTGGTTACGTTGCTTGTAGAGTTTGATATGTTCGAGTTCGCTAAGTGTTCGCTACCGTACCGAACGTAGCAAACTCGAACATAGTGAACTCAACAGGGAGCGAAACCAGCTGTAACTGCACTGCCACCGTGCTAAGTTGTAAGGGGTTAATATAAATTCTGTAAATCAAATCCATACTATACCTGACCAACACTCTGGAGTGCTTTCAAGTCATTTTCAGATTTGTCATACTCCTTACTTAAGTCTTTGAGTTGTTCTCTCACTATAAGAAGAGAGAAGAAAGAGAGCCAAAGTCCAGTAATTTTTGTAAGCTTTGAAGCTCAATATAAATGTTTTTGACTAAGTTCTCAGATAGATAAGTTATCATGCAAGAGGACAAATTATAAGCTTATGCTTACGTGGTATAATTTCAAATTGTAGAGCCATACAATATTTCAATAAATAATCACTCGCTATCAGCTAAGACATTTATACCAGCACGGCCAACTTTCAACTCACAGACAACAGAAAAAATATATTATCAATCAAAAATGGATAAAGAAACTGTAGGCTTACAGTGCATGCCATTCATATTTTGATTCGGTGAAAAATCGACTGCTATTCCTATTAACATAAAACATTTAAACTTGAACAAATTACGATAAACAAAACTAAAATGTACATACTTTCTTTTAACCGTGCATCAAGTTCTCTGTGTTCTAAAAGCTTCTTTCTGTAGTTAGCCAAAGCCTTCTCCCTCGCGGTTTCAGTAGTCGCCATCTTTGTTGAGTGACTAAGCAACATCCCATAAGTCTACGCGGGCTCATATTTTTGCGAGAAACCGCTGGCTTTCATTTTGGCGGGGAAAAAAAGTTAAAAAAATAATTCAGTTCGCTGATGATGACTCAGAATATGTGCTTTAGGGGCGTGAGCATACATTACAGGTGTACAATTACTCTTGAGCTATTAACTCCACCAGCACGGTGTGGACGATCCTGAAAATGGCACCTCTAACGACGAGTTCTAATGGAGAAGGCTTCTGGGGGGAAGTAACTTCGACGATCGACTGGTGCGAGGAAAATTACGCGGTGACTTCTTTTCTGGCGGAGTTCTGTAAGTGGCGTTATGAGCTTATTTTCGTAATGCAGCTGTTGATCGAAACTTCGAAGCTGCTTTCGAATGATTAAAGCAGTTCACCGCATTGTTTTAAAACAACTTTTGTTCAATGCCATTGAATTCTTTTCTTGTTGTGTTTAATTCAGTCGCTACACTTTAATCGAAACAACTGATGAGTGATCCAGATCGAGTTAGCCCAGCTGACGCGCTGAAATTCTGCACTACTCAAATTCTTGTTTACAGTATTAGCCACTGGGGTACCTAATGTTTTTGGAGAAATTTGTGTTCCGTGATTAACCTTTCTTACGTAACTCGGTTGCAATTTTAATGCCCTAAAAAGAACGAACGTGGCAGTTTTAATGACGAACAGTTATATGCAAAGATGGTGTCGAGCCGTGAATTGCAATGGGCAATGTATTGTATTTGGGATCTATTTAGGATTTAATAGAAGTTTTGCCTGTTTGTAGCCGGAAGCAATTTCATTTAATGTAATCGAGCTGCGACCCACAAAAGGCGTGAAATTGTGCTTTGGAAAACTAAATTAGCCGATTACTTGTTCCTGGGTGGTCCGATCAATTAGCACCCTCTCTTTTACTTCCAGATGCAGACTACATTGTTGGTGAAATGTTCACTGTTTTCAAACATCGATTTTAAATTCCTTTGTCATTCAAATTTGTGAATCAATATTTTAAAAAAATAAAACTAATCTCTTTTGCGGGTTTACGTGCATATAATGGCTGTTGTGTTATGGCAAATATTGTTTCTCTTTGTTGTTTTATTTAGGGAACACTATAAGCAACTGGTTGTTTTTGATCCCCCCATTCGTTGGAGCAATTTTATCGTGGGAGAACAAGTTGGAGAGACGTTACACCTTTTCGTTCATTTCACTGTGTGGTAAGTTGTGTTGTGCCTGCTTTCAGCACATTGTGACAGTCATGGCAATTTGCCAGTACCCATGCACGCATTCATACCCATTTTTACAATAACTGTCTAATTTCTTGCGTGCTGATTGGCTTAATTTTATCATCAGTAAGAGTACAGACTGATAAAATTTTAATTTAGGCAATCTTGCAAGTTCAAATTTCAGCTGTCAGACTGTCAACTCTTAAACCAATGAGATTTTATGGACTTTTTTTAAGTAGCCAATCAAAAAGCAAGAAAAGCTATCGACAATTTTCACAGCTGAATGTCTCAGTACCATTGGTCTGTTACGAAGAAAGGTACTACCCTGTTCAATAATTTATTGTTCTTCATTCATAATCTGGGTGGTCAGTTTTCTTCCAAATAGTGTGGGGCTGGTGGATTCCATCTTGTACTTGCCTGACAGGCAAGTGTAGCTTTTTGGGGAAAAGTTTTGAAGAATTCAAATTACAGACTGTATGAAGTGAAATTACTGTATTTGTTTAATTTTTAATTCATCAGTCATACTAGGGGGATATTTTTTGTGGGCTAGTGACAATAGCTACTAAGCTAACCAGACTGAAAGGTTAACTAGAAAAAAAAAAATTGACATCCTAGCTAGTTTAAGTTGTCATAAGCTTTGCTTTTAAGAGGTGGGTATTTAGATAAGCGGGATCAGCTTTATAAAATGGCTGCTGGCTAGCTCCGATTGTTCACCTCCACCAGCTCCCCTGCCCCCCTCCCCCCTCCCCACCACCCCGATAAATCATATTTTTCTCCCATACCATCACCTGTACTTCTTGAATGTGCACTAAGGTTAAGGCGACTTTTGAATATCTTTTCTATTAAAATAAATTATTTCTTTTTCAGTTGTGGGAATAGGCTCATTTTGTTTTCATGCTACACTGTTATATGAAATGCAGGTAAGGAATTATGGAATTTAGTCCAATGTGTTTAATCCTTTTCACCTACAGTACTTTCCTGTTTATCTCTTGTTTACTTATTACTTCTCAAGGGGTTTTAATGAAAAATATTTTATTTGCTGCAGCTTCTTGATGAACTTCCAATGATTTATGGTACTTGTGTGTTAATATTTTGCATGTAAGTTATCTTAACATTTTCTATTAGTAATAAATTTACAAATTAAATTAAAAAAAAGAATATTAGAGCCGTTTTCAATAATTATTGAGTGCTGAAAACTAATTGGCTTTGCGTTTACCTACGCTGGACGATTGGCTTAAGAAACTCGCGCCACTTTTTCATCCAATCAAAAGTAAAACCAAAACCAATTGAGACTACTTTGCATGCATTTTCCTGTGCTTTGCATCAGCTACATGTAATTACTTAGAGTTTTCATTGGTTCACTGCATTGTCTGTGTCCTTTATGACTGGCTAGAGTGATTACTTTGGTTTTGGTTTTATGGCACTCAATTTAAAACCGCTCTATGAGAGAGTTGTAAAATGTTCAAGGAATTGCATGCACGACTAGTTTTGGTCAGTTTCAGTTTATTTGAGCTCCATCATAAACCCACAGGCCTGTGCTATGCTTATGCTTTATAGAGTTATGTAGTCCCAGCATATATCGCATCTAACAATTCAACCAAGTGTTTACAAAGTGTCTTGAACTTTTTATACAGAAAACAGTCAACTAAGTCTTCGGCATTGTTGAGTGACATAAACACTGACAATACATATTGTTAGAGGCACTGAGTTATGCCTCGCACCTGGCTCTTGACTAGATGCTCTTCTTATGCTTTTAAAAGTTCTAGTGTTCTTATATAACTCAACAATGCAGGTTCATATCTATTTAATTGACTACATGTATTCCTATTATTAATGTTAAAAAGTATTAATTAATTACTATTAAATAGAGAAATGTTATTTAAAAACAGAGCTTTCTGGGAATGTTTCATTTGCTGCTTCAATGACAAACTTAATGAGAAGACATGTTACTGTATATTTTATCTTTTATATTGCATTACATGACCTGTTAGCTTTTTGCTTGATGTTGCATACATTTGTCATTGTTCATTTTCTTTTTGGCTCAGCTGGCATTGTTCCTATCGCCCACGGGAGCACAACATTACACTCTCATTAATTCTTATTGTCTGTTGTGCTATGATCACCCTGGTAAGCTATTTTTAAGTAAAAAGTAGTTTTAAACATTTAATACGCCATCCAGTGGTCAATTAATTACTTATGCCACTTTACTGCTTGCCTGTTGCTTATTTTATAAGGTTCAAGTGGTTTCTGTATGTTTTTAAGGGTGGTTATTGGTCCCATGTCTAACCCCCATGACCAGAGGGCCCAAGAGCTTTTCGTTTGTCATGCCTCTCCCCACTGATCAATCTGGCAATTGCCATGTTTAACACACACTAAGCCTCCAGCCAGCATAACTTTTACTTATCTTAGGATTATTAAGACACACAAGCTAAGCTTTCCCTTATGAGTCATCACAAGGTGACATGCCTTGCATGATAAAATGCAGTCCTAATTAGTGTTTGAGATTTAACAGGTTTAAATTAGTCTTTATCGTGGACTTATGTGCTTGCCAACTCACCTGCATTACGTGTGTGCCATGGGCCTGTAGATCATAAATTTGATGTTATAATTTAATTAAGACGGTTCTGAAACCCATGTTCAGAATTTGTTTAAACTTTGCTGTAAGTTGTATCTTGCTCAAAAAAATAATGGTTCATCTCATAAAAAATGTACATGCTCCCAAAGAGGAAGTTAAAGAGTTTCATGTAAATGACAATTTTCAGTGATGTGATTTAAATGTGTTACATTTCAACTGACAGTTACTCTGTATTGATCTCCAGGTGTATCTGACTGTTGTGAATCCACTGATATTCCAGGTATATTTTTTTGACAATTATATGTATGGGTAATCAAAAGATGACTAGTGAAATTAGGAAATAATTTCACATGTGTTTTGTCAAAATTTTTATAACTTCCCTCGCCTTCATGGGTGACAATTAATATTACCCTTACAATCGTGGGTTATTAACTTGTTTATTGTATCAAGAAATCCCGTGCAAAACATTGCCATGACAATTTACATGTAGTAGTTTCACTAGTGAAGTTCTAAAATTAATGCTGAAATTTTGTGCCAAAATTAGTTTGGTGATTAAACTTGAATATAAAGTTTGCAACTTATATTAATTAATATAAAGATATATTATTTAATAAATACCTTAAGTTTCAATTCACCATTTCTTGCTATGGTAATAATCCATGGTTGTAACCTTTTTCCTGCAGTGGGCATATGGTATTCTTGTTGCTACCCTTGTCATTAGAACTGGTATGGCTTGTAGGTAAGAAAGATTGTCATGAATTTGTCGTGATCATGCATAAAGTATTCTGATTTGCTGGGTTTTTTTATTAGTTGCTGGCCTTCTCACAGCTGTCTTTCAGGGGTTTCATTAACATTTCCAGCAAGAGAGCAACTGCTTTTCTCAGGCGTGCAAAACTTTTTGAACTTAACTTCTTTATAAGAAAAACTTTACTCTAGATGGTCAAACCAGGCAGGCAAAGTTGTCCTTACAGCCGGTTAACCCAGCCCTTAAAGAAAACCCTGGTCTTTTATGTATTATTACAATACCTTAACAGGGCTGTGCTGAAGCGCCTGGGTGCCACAGGCAACTAACGTTGCCTTTGGGTGAGTGGAAAAACTTACTTTCCTCATAATTTTTCCCAGACTGCAGCCTATGATTATGATTATTTTTTTCATGGCAGAAAACACAATGGTTCAAAGAAACTTTTGACCATATCACTTGTAAGGTAAGAGCTTTTATTAATTATTAATATTATTGTTGTGTGTGTTTATTAACAGTTTTTTTTCTACATATGAAAAATGCTAGACTACGAGTAGTCCCTCTTTCGCTTAGTCCGTCGTGCGTGACACGAAAGAAATTCGTGAGAAAAAAATGGCCGCACGAAATCCTGGGGGCTAGGAGCGCACGAAAGGAGGGACTACCGCCTAAGCCCAAGAGTTTGCCCTTTCACGGCCGAGTGATTTTTCGGTGTAGGATTTCTCATCTTGATGTCCTCTTATTATCGCCTGTTATCAATAGCCCCAGGAGATCTGAATAAAATTGCTCTACTCTACTCTTCAAGTAGCCAGGCAAAAACAT